TAATCCTTCTCAAATAGTTCTACCGTCTGGGGACCAAGTACTCAAATATATGAGCCTATGGGGGCCATTCTCATTCAAACTACCACACTTAGTTTCTCTGCCTTCATGGCACTCAGACTGGTCCCATATGCCCCCCTGTTTTTTTACAGCCTCAAAAAGCTAGGCTGTCAAGGGGTTCTTCATTCCTCAATTAAGAGTTTTTCCCAAGTTAATCAGTTCAAATGCAGAGTATTCTCTGATTATCAGTTTCCTGCCCTGATGCCATTGTTTAGGTCCCCATCTGCCTGTTAAATCATGGGCTTTTCCTTCCTTTGTTTTAAAGGTGGGGCTTGAGAAGTATCTTCTAGCATTTCTACTTTGCTCTATCCTGCCTCACTGATTCTTCCATGAGTTCTAAGTTTTTGGAATCAAAAAAGGGCTCTTTAGCACAGACCTAACATATGCTGTCTTTTCTTTACATCCTTCCAGCTGTGAGAAATGGCAAGCCAAACACCTCCGTCTCACCTTTTTCTTTTCCCACTTTTCTGCCAGTGGGTAGCATCTGCATGCCTTTTTCTCATAATTCCTCTTTTATACAAGCCAGTTCTTTTATTATCTGTTTGAGACATTACCATTTCACAGGATGGACCTCATTAGTCAAGGAAGCATGCTATCCATCTCAACTAGAAGAAGATGGCCACCTAGAGATTATCCCCAGGGATACCCTACTCTTAGACGGCTTGACCCTGGTTGCATGTCCTGTCATCTGTCTAATGTAGCATGTAGCACCAAATAGCAAGGAGGCGCATCATCCCATACCCATGGGGAGAAGGTTCTATCAGGACTGCTGATAGAGGAGTGCCCCATCCTCACGCAGATCAGCCTCAGTTGCATATCTCAGTAGCTGTTGCAGGGAATGAGCAGCCACTTTTCTCTTACTCATCATCAGTTCTGTTGGTCGTGTTTGGGTGTCAGTTTTGCTGTGTGATTCTTCCTGGGGAGACAGGAACAAGCTTCAGTTCACCCTAGATAGGACACTGACGATGGACCAAAGGAACACTTCCCTTCACGCCCAGCTTGGTAAAACTGGCATTTACTGTGGTTACCTACAGAAGTACAGGTGAGGGCTTCCTCACAGGAATGTGGTCGCTCAAAAGGCAGCTCCATCTCCAAGAAGCCCACCTCTGCGTAAGTCTTGACTCATAAAGCTGCATCCCTACAGCTCCTGGAACAATTTGCAGGCAGCTTGACTGGTCCTTGAGTCCTCTCTCCCTAGCAGCTGTCTATTGCCTTTTATAACCTTAGAGATCTTGTGAATGTTGTAACTCAGGAGCTTTCTGAGTCTTACATCTTCTCCTTCCCTCCTGGAGGGAATGTTCCATGATTGGCATGACTGAGTGGGTTTTTTGTATGTTTGTTTCTAATTATTTGTTTGTTGTTGTTGTTTTGAGACAAGATTCTTTCTGTGAGTTGTCAGGTGGGTGCTGAGAATTGAACCCAGGTCCTCTGGGAAGAACAGCCCGTGCTCTTAACCACGGAGCCATCTCTCCAGCCCCCAGGGTTTCTTTCTGTATCCCAGATTGGCTCACTGTTGCCCAGGCTCAACTTTAACTGGAGGTAATCCTCCCAGGCTGGAATTACAGGTCTGAGCACCATGCCTGTAATAATACAGTAGCTTGAAGTAAGTTCACGGGCCCCAGAGGTGTTTCCTGCTGTTGTACATGTTAACCAAGCAGTCTGAGCAAGGATATAAACTTCTGCTCTGTCTACTCTAGAGTGTAGCCTCTATTGAACAGGAACATAGAATTTTCCACATGTTGTTCCAGTCCTGAGAGTGAAAGATGCAAAGTATCCTCCTTTCTTGCCTAGTTCACCATGCAAGGTGATGAGTTTAGACATTGTTTACGGTGTAGTGGCTAAGAGTCAGACATACTTATTTTCAAATACCAGCTGTGACTGGGCCAGGTCATTCACTTCTTATCTGTGCCTAACTTGCCAGGTTAGTGATGTGATGTAGGTGCTGGCTCTAAGTTATGTAGTAGAGAGGTGTGCCAGGCATTTGTGAGGGTACCTGAAGTGGGCCTGGGGGAGAGCTGGGGCTCTATTTCCAGAAAAAGGAATGCCTGAATTGATACTTGGATGGAGAATTAGACGCTGGATTGGACCCCGTTTGGACAGGACCACCTACAAAGCATACTCTTGCTTCCTGTTAATTCTGTTTGTGAATGTATGGATACTATGTGCAACTGTAATAGCAAAGGATCGCTTGTTTTGTTGTTGTTGTTGCTGTTGTTTTAAGCTGGCCTTACTCTGCCTAATAGAGTAACTCATTGTTTTAAATATGTGCTTCTTACAATGGAGACATGAAGACCTTAAGTGGAATTTGAGGATGTGAAAGACTTACCCAGACTGAGAAACATTTTGTTGTTAGGGACTTGAGTTTATTTTACATCTTAACAGGGCTTGATCTTAAAACAAATGATCCCATTTTGGTTCTCTTAATTTTGATTGATTTGACACAGTGTTTCTATCTTCTCCCTTTTTAGGCTCAAATGAACTATGAAAATTAATGTTAAAATAATTGCTAAAATATATCTTTTAATGATATTGTCTCATCAGAGTCTAAGAAATATACCCAGGTATCTGCTAAATTATGTTTAAAGATGATAAATACTGTTGGCTTTTATGCTGATACATTTTCTAAATAACGACAAGGCAGCCTTTCTGTCAAGACTTTAAAGTCTTCTTTCCTTTTCTTGGCTTCTTGTTTGCATAGCTTAAAACATTAAGGAGGTGGCTTAATCAGTGGACCCTTGCTGAGCAAGTATGAGGACCTGCTTAAATGCCTGGCCCACGTGTAAAAAGCCAGGGCTTACTGACAGGTTCAGTGAGAGACCTTGCCTTTAGAGATTAAAATAGTGACAGAGCAGGCCCTCCACTCACTGGCCAGCCTTGGCTACTCACTGAGCTCCAATCCAGGAGATACTCTTTAAAAAACCAAGGTTGACTCTTGGCGAACTGCAACAACCAAGGTTGACAACAGTGCAGGTTGACCCGCATGTGCATAAATTGGAGCTGAGGACCCAGAAAGCTGGAGCTGCCCACTGAAAAGAAACTGAGGTCTTCTTAGGTATAGATAGATAGCAGCTTAAACGATTCTTCCTGTTCTGGCTTCTAACCAGCAAAAGCATCTCCTCCTCTGATCCTTCTAGGGATGGGACCAGTTTCTTAAATGCCTTCAGCCACAGGCTGGTCTGTCACTGAGAGATTATTGCCCAGCCTGGTCTGCTAATAGGAGGGAATGCTGGAGAACATGTTAAATCGTGTTTACTGGCCGCCTATTAATTACTGTCCTCCATGTTTTCTTTATGTTGTTCTGTTTCTGTGTGCCATCATTAGACAGTCGTTCCAGGGCAGTAAAACATCCATGGCTTTTGTCATTTATTATCTCGGGACACTAGTTTCTAGTGCTTTCATGAATGAGTAGCAGACCCTAGATTCAGGGAGAACATTCTTACATGGATAGGGTTGGCTTATCCAGCCAATCAGTCCTAGAGAATCTCTGAGATTGGGACCATTTGACATCCTGGGGACAACTGCTAGTTCCTTCCTGCAGTGAAAATAGTTACCGTGGTTACTGTGGAAAAGTACTTTTGTTTTTTATACTCTGGAGCAGGCAGAGAACTGCTTGAAAAATGGTCACTTTCCTGCAGTGCCTTTGAGCCAAAATAATTGTCTTAGCTTTAGACCTACACAGCTTTTTTATGCTCATAGGATGTATGACAAGACCACAACTGGGTAAAAACCCCACAGGAGGCAGGGACTGTGCGTCCCTGTAAGCTTCTGGTCTCTGGTCATGTGACAGCCTAGAAGAGGACTAGTCTTTTCTTTTGTGGATAGCTGCTGAATAAGTAGCTGAGGACAGAACAGAAGGAGCATTCAGTACAAAAGAGATGTTAAACCCCAGCTAGGCACCTGCATGTGAACAGCCCAGCTGTGATGCTGAGCTTGCCCTGGGGAAGCTGGCTGCTAGCTTGAGAAACCAAACAGGGCCTCCAGTGACAATAGCAGGTCGGAGAGGGCGATTTTCATGTGCTTCTTTAAGATTGTCAGCTGTCACCAGTCTGGTTGTCTTTTACCATGCTATGACATAGAATTCCATGGAACTAGTTTTGGTAAGGTTTGTTGAAACACAGCTTTTGAAGAGAACTTAGAACTCCCATTTTCCCAAGCTCTCTTGCATGGGGTTCTCCTGTGAAGTGAGCAGGGGAAGTTACAGGGAGGACCACCTGGCTTCCCCTTCTTTCCCTTTGCAGGGTTTAGTAATGGGACATGGGTTTGCTGAAGGGACCTAGGCCATGTCAAGTGGAAGAGAAAGGAGGAACACGTTAGAGAACCTTGAAAGCACATGCAGCAGGGAGGGAGATAGACAGCACATCACAAAATGAGTGACCAATTGGAGAGTCTAGAACCAAAGATGGGGAAGAATTCTTGACCGTACACATGAGGTGATGGGTGTGTGAAAGGATGCGGACCCTGGAGAGAGGGTGGGAGTAAGACATTTCCAAAGGGAAGGATGGAGATTTTGTGTGGAGTTCAAGAAGCAACAGGGGAAGAAGCTGAGTGATCTCCACACTGTGCATCTGCTTCAGGTTGTTGAAAGTGGGACCTGCTAATGTCCACATCTCTTCTAGGTATTGGGCACCACCACTTAAAAACACAAGTTCTTTCTTTTAAAATGTACTTCCAAACCAGGCGGCAATGCAGGCCTGTAATCCCAGCTTCTCAGCGGAGAGGCAGGTAGATCGTAAGTGTGAAGACAGCCTAGGTAACTAGTAAGACTGTTTCAGAAATAAAAAGGAAGGGGCTAGAGAGATGGTTCATTAGTTAAAATATTTTTAAGAAACTATTAAAACTCCGAGCTTTTAAATATGTTACCTCTCAGGATCTTAATTTCTTAGTTAAGAAATCAGATTTTTTTCCCCTTAAGGTTGACTGGATGTTTTTAAATTTTTCTTCAGGTAAGAGTGCAGTTTTAAAGTGTCTCCTGGATGTTCACAAAATCTTTCAGGAAAATGACCCAGCGTACATTTTGAATGATCTCTACATCTCAGACTACTGTGTATGGATTCAGAAAGCCAAGTAAGTTTTGTGTCCCTGGGCAGTTTGTACATGCTTGCGTTTGTAAAACACCACTTACCTGGGAGGAGGAAGATGAAATGCCTGGAGAGTAACTCTTAATGTTAGAGAAACCCATATGGCTACTAAACGCTTTAGAAACAGCTGGATTTTAAGCAGGGGCATTTGGGACTCACCTGGGCTACACAGAAAGACTGTCTCAGAGAGGGAGGGAGGGAGGGAGGGAGGAGGGTAGGCTTCATTAAGATAGACAGCTTGGTGAATCGTTTAGGGAGGTAGGTGTAGGTGAATAGAATTTGATTAGAAGAGATTGGTTTGATACACACACAAATATATGATTTTCGGTGTGTGTGTGTGTGTGTGTGTGTGTGTGTGTGTGTGTGTGTGTGTTACTATAGCAGACTATCTGACAGAAACAACTAAAAAGAAGGATGATTCATTCTGTTCACAGTTTAGAGCAGTGGTTCTCAACCTCTGGGTCTCGACCTATATAGGAGTTAACGACCCTTTCACAGGGTTGCCTAAGACTATCGGAAAACACATATATTTATATTACAGTAACAGTAGCAAAATTCCAGTTATGAAGTAGCAGTGAAAATAGTTTTATGGTTGGGGTCACAGGTATTAAATGGTTGCAGCATTAGAAAGGTTGAGAACCACTGGTTTAGAGGCACATGGCAGGAAGGCTTGGGACCTGGGGGCCCGGGGTCAGTGTGGTGTGGTCTTGCCGCATGGCTTCTTCTCATGTCTTATCAGATGAAGAGAAAGTGGGGCCAGGCTGTAGCTCTCAAAGGACAACTCCTAGTAGCTTGTGTTCAAAAGCTATGCAGTTTCAAAGGCTCCATAGTCTCCAGGTGCTCCGTTAACCTTGACAAGTGCTCAGACAGACTGTGGGGCCCCCTGGATTCAAACCCTAACAGTGTGTACACAGAATTGCTACCCTCCTCTCCAAATGGAAATCTCAAGACCAGGTTCTTAGCCCTGTCCCTGTGGTGGGGCTGTGTGTGCATGCATATGCACCGACATACATGTGTAAAAGTCACAAGATTTAAATCTAATGCAGACAAGAGCTGGGCCTTTGTCCACTGACCCCTGACTTACCGAGTGTGTGTTTCAAAGTATAAGAAAATCAGACTTGCAGCATAGGTATTTAAGCGTCTGAACACTCACAGATAGGCTGCAGCACTTGCTCAGTGAAATTTTCTTGATTTGTAAAACCATATAGCATTGCTTCATTCATTCGGAAAAGCATAGTCGGTTGACGGTTGATGTTAAAAGGCGGTGCATTTGTGTATCGGGAAGGACTTGAGAGATAGATCTACTCATCAGGCACAGCCAGTGCTCCACTTGAGTAGTGAGGGGCTGTTTGTTGAGACTTAGAGAGCTCCTGATTGGAACGATTCTGGGTGCTGTAGAACAGTGTTGTGTCAGTGCTGACCTAGAAGGGAAAGAAGCAAGAGGCTTCTGTTACTGCTCCGATTGCCTTTTAATACCTCTTTGAATGGACCGTGATACGGAATTTATTTCTTATTTCTATTCACGAGGAAACAATCACATTAGAGTGCAGTGGGCAAGCTCCCCGACTACCTGTTGGCTGGAGGATGCTCAGGATTGCTCCAGACAACACCTGACACTATCCAGCATGTGGAGTCAGCATCTGTGTTGGGAATCTAGAGTTTGCCAGATGGAAAATTGACTCTTTAACCCCTGAGGTCATCATGGTAGGCCATCTCTTTATTGTGTTCTCATGCTAATTGAGCTTATCAGATACTCCACAGCCATTTCCTGTTGTGACTTTTGTTTCCATAATATAATTAAATTGAAACAGTCTCTCTGTGTGGGTTGTTTAGTTTTCTGAGAGCAGGGATTTTATAAACATGTAATGAGTATGGAGGTTTGTGCCAGGATCCCATTTTCACGCAAGTTCTTCTCCCATCTTGTGACATTCCTTATTAAATACTAAGAAGACCGCATTGTGTTCCATAGACAGATGTAAGTGTGCAAGTTGCTGTGGGGTCACCAGGCTTATTCTTAAAGTTTTTTGTTTTTTTGTTTTTGTTTTTTTAACTTGTTTTAAATAATGGGAAACAGAGCAGAACTCCTAGGTTCTCAGTAATGGACTTTTCTGGTGGTGGTGGTTTGTTTGTTTGTTTGTTTCTGTTTGTAAAAGGATAGTGTAGTAGGGTAGGAAAGGTGAGAGCTTGCAGAGACTCAAGTGTTTTGTAAACTACTTTGCTTCTTCGACTTCAGCAATTTGGGCCTAACTGTTCTTTCCCTCAGTAGGCTGTGTTGTTTTGCTGTGATAAATGATAGCCCAGCTATTTTCCTCCTTCTTTGAAATAATACATTTCTTCACTCATCTGATTTTTATTAAACTTTTCTAATTTCATCCTTGGTTTTACAAGCACAGCTTAGATGGATTTTCTGATGGCTTACAACCTTCTCACCTCTAACTACGGCAGCCTCTTAACTATTTTTCTTCATCTTTTGCTGTCTTGGATTGTAAAGTTAAACCACCATGTTTTTATGTTTACAATAGTTTGTATTTTCTTTCATCTATATTTGATGTTTTTGATAGGAATAATAAAATATAACGTTTTTTTGGAAGTACCAGACAGTATGAAACCTGCACAAAAACAGCATCCCATTTTTCCAGTCAGACATTTACTTTGGCAAAAATTTATTGAAATGCTGTTCTTCTTATATTGAATCAATGAAGCTATGGCAACAGTGTAAGGTTCGCCTCATGAGGGTGTTTTGCTTCTGTGCTGTCTGCTTCTTGTGGAACATGGAGCCTTGGACTCTATTAGGAATTATGGGTCTGTGGGGAAAACAAACTAAGCTTCCTTGTTTCCTTCGGTGTACGTGGCCCTGGACTTTGCAGTGTGGTGCCTGCTGCATCGAACATCCCCTGGTGGCAGTTTTGAGGACTGCTGAGGTTTGGCTTGCAGTCATGGTAACAGATAGGTCTGCCACAGTATCCTGCCCTGTGGTTCAGTTCCTCTCCCAGATAAGCCACACGTTACAGCCAGTTGTCTTTACTCATGGCTGTAGAAGAGGGCCCGAAGAAAAACCGCTCCCTCCGGGAACTGTTCCTGGAGGAAAGGGGTTTAATGAAGCATTGGGTTCATTGGGTTCGTATGCTCCCATAGAGCTTGAGAAATCGCTCTGCACATCTCCTGCCGTCCCCTAGTGGGATGATCTAAGCCCTCATCTCCACTAAAGCTTCCAGGACCCTGTGAGAGAACACTCATCTGGGTCTACATACTTTCTTATGTGCACAGCAAATTCAATTGAATTAAATGGGCCCTGTTAGTTGAAGGAGAAATTTTTCATTGTTAAAAAATGTAGCTCTGGGGCTGGTGAGATGGCTCAGCAGTTAAGAGCATTGGTTGCTCTTTCAGAGGACTGGGATTCAGTTCCCAGCACCCCCAAGGCAGATCACAACTGTCTATAACTTCAGGTCCAGGGGAATGCGGTGCCCTTTTCTGGCCTCCACAGGCATTGCGCACATGCAGTACACAGACAAAACACCCATACACATAAACCAAAAAAACTTCTTCAATGTAGCACTGTTAAAAGCTGTGGGTTCAGGAGATGGCTCAGTAGGTAAAGGCACTTGCTGCCAAACCCAGCAGCCTGGTTTGGTCCCTGGCACCATAGTGGAAGAGAGAAGCGACTCCCATATGTTGTCCTTTGACCTCCACACATGTCCATGTGCAAACACTCACAATAAATAAATAAAACATAATTTTAAAAAAGCTGTCCATCAGTTACAGCTTATTTTGTTGAAATGTCCAGTTATGTTCAGTATTGGATTTCTTCTACCTCTGATTCTTTCATGGTGGTTCTGTCCGCTGAGAATTTATCAGTTTCCACCCTTTATGTAATGTAGGGTGGGTAAGAGTGAAGTCTAATGTATTCTGGCTCTAGTTTTCCTTGGCCATGTGACCTAAGAAAGTTGTTTCTTCTCTTCCTCTAATGCAGTTGGTATTAGTATTTTAATACTTCTTCCAGCTATTTCCTGTCTGTCTGTCTGTTTTTCAAGGTAGGATTTCTCTGTGTAGCCCTGGCTGTCCTGGAACTCACTCTAAACCAGCTGGCCTAGAACTCAGAAAGCCTCTCAGAACTCAGAAAGCCTCTGCTTTCCAAGTACTTGGACTGAAGGCATGCACCTGGCTCGCTATTCATTCTTTTTTTTTTTTTTTACCATTTTTTTAAAATATATATTTTATTTTACAATACCATTCAGTTCTACATGTCAGCC